TCCACGAGGAGGACTACTTTGCCCTCATCCAGTTTGATCACGACATCAGTTCCTGGAAGGAATCACTTAGCAAAGCAACCAAGGAAAATGTGGCTGAAGCCATGGCCTACGTGAGACGGATAACGAGCAATGGAGGTAAATAGAAAAACAGCGGAGAAAAACTAGCTTATAGGCCAAATATTGTCTTTACTCCTTCAGTGATAGAAATGCATTCTGATCCTACAAATTTTACCGCACACTTTTTCTTCTAGGAACCAATATCAACGACGCAGTGTTGAGAGGTGTTAACATGCTGGTCGAAGACAGGCGAGCGAAGAGGCTCCCTGAGAGGAGCATTGATATGATTATTTTACTCACTGATGGAAATCCAAATATGGGTGAGCATCTAGAGTGTGTATGTACTGTAGGATATATATTGTATATATTTGTGTGAATGCACAACTTGACCAATGTACTGTATATGTAGCATTAAATTTGTGCATGTTGTATCTGTGGGTTTGAAGGAGAGTCTAGCCTCCCGAGGATCCAGGAGAATGTGCGTTCTGCTATTGGAGGAAACATGTCTCTGTTCTGTCTGGGATTTGGAAATGATGTGGATTACTCCTTCCTGGATGTGATGAGCACACAAAACAAGGGACTGGCCCGCAGGATATATGAAGCTTCAGATGCAACACTTCAACTCAAGGTGGCGGGTTAAGGCTATGAATACACTTCTGAGCCAATAGTTATATTTATGTAAACTTAAATGAAAATAAATACTAGCTATGTCACTTTCATTTCCACAATTATGTGATATTTTTTTTGACAATTTTCTGATAAAATAATTTAATAAAAGCTATTTTTATAGCACATTCTGTACAAATACATAAAGCACAGAGTGTGCATGCATTTATTTCAGGGTTTCTATAATGAAGTGGCCAGCCCTCTGCTCTCGGAGGTGGACCTGCATTACCCTGACAATGCAGTGGACTTCGTTACCACCAACCACTTCAGCCAGTTGTTTAATGGCTCAGAGATCGTGGTGGCTGGTCGGCTGACTGACAACGACCTGGACAACTTCCTGGTGGAGGTGTTAGGGCAGGGGGTAAGGAGAAGGAAATGGCAGAAATGTAGAGATAATGCTGAGGTGAAGAGAAGACTCGTTACTCTATTAATCTGTTCATCACACAGCATTTCCTCTTATTTCCTCTTCCTTGTAGTTTGAGGATGACTTCAAAGTGCAGGGCCAGGCCAGTGCTATTGACTGGGATGTCATGTACCCAGACGAGGAGTACATCTTTGGGGATTTCACCGAGCGTCTCTGGGCCTATCTCACCATCCAGCAGCTACTGGAGAAGAGGTCAGTTTGAGTCATTTCACTCAAACTGAGACCTGAATTGCTTTGGCTTGAAAATATTAATTTCCCATTTCATGAAAATCTTTTTTAATGATACTCATTGGTGATCACCAGAGAGCCCATAATAAAAACTGTAATATCCATTTAGAGATTCCTTTGTGGTTTTCTGAATGCCATTTTCATATGTGGCAACTTAAGTATATTTTTCGTCTTGCAGCAAGAGTGGTTCCCCAGACGAGAAAGGCAACGCCACAGCCAAGGCGCTGGACATGTCTCTGCAATACAGCTTCGTCACCCCGCTCACCTCCATGGTCGTCACCAAGCCTGAAACTGAGGATGGAACAGACAGCCCTCTCATTGCGGATAAGCTGACTGAGGGTAAGGAAAGAAAGACAGGGTTTAAAAAGTGATGCTGGATAGTCCTAATTTCTATTTACTCAACAACACCAGCAGAGGCTGGTGCTCTAGTTTAAACCATGGAACGTACCAAGTTGTTCTTGTCAATCTGTTTTTTTAACAGAGCAAAGACAACAGGCAGAAAGAGTGGGTAAGACTTCTTTTTTACCATATAGGATAAAAATAGAGTTGTTGGTTTAAGTCGATTCAGTGTATTGATTGATTTGGATGTTATTGTTCCTGTTTCTAGCACATCGAATGCCAACTCCTGCAGTGTTCTCACATTACCAGCCACCACCCACATATTTTGGTAAGTTCATTTTTAGCAATGCCAGCTGCACAGCTGTAATGATGACAATGTCAGTTTGTTGCTCTGTCAGTCCATCACAACAACTATTAGATAACTTGCTTAGAACTTTTGTACAGATATTCATGGTCCTCAGAGGATGAGGCCTCATGACTTTACAGATCCCCTGACTTTTCATTTAGCAACACCACCAGGTCAAAATCTTTACCTACATCTTGATACAAATTTTTGTTCAGATATTCATGGTCCTCGGATGATGAACCCAACTGACTTTATCCTCTGACTTTTCCTGTAGCGCTACAATGAGGTTCACAGCTTTGGTTTTGCCTGAAGTGTCTCAACATTTTACAGTACATACACTCATGTCCCTACAAGGATGAATTGTAAACACTTTGGCAATCCCTTAACTTTGAATAAGGGTTTTACTCTAATCAACAAATGGTAGGTTATTTAAATGCTTAACTAAAATTGTGAACATGATAAACATTACATGCTAAACATCAGCATATTAGCATTGTCATCCTTACCGTGTTAGTATGCTGGTGTTAGCATTTAGCTAAATCACAGCTGTACCAAAGTGCCGCCCCACAGAGCTCCTTCCATGGCTGTGGACTCTCAGGCTTGTTGACATGTTTTTATCAGCATCAGCCAAAACTATATCCGAAACAAAATCATATTAATTTCTTTCTATTACTGTCATTATACTCTGGCATCACCTGCAGTGGACGGAGATCCTCATTTCATGATAGAGCTGCCAGACAGAGATGACGCTCTGTGCTTCAACATCAACGACAAACCAGGAACCATTTTCACTCTGGTCAGAGACCCAGAATCAGGTCAGCCCTGAGTCCCGATCATCATCATGACTTTCTTACCAGTTGACAAGTACAAAATTGCTGTCCCTGGTATCCTTATAAACCAACATGTAAATCAAGTGTTGATATTTTTTCTGTCGTCATACAACTTATGTGCTAGTTAAACAGGGAATGACTGAATCCCACATTGTTTCCTCAGGTATTTTGGTCAATGGCCAGATAATTGGAGACAAGAAAATTCCCCCCAATGGCAAAATTAACACCTACTTCTGGCGGTTTGGCATCGTCCACCAGACTCTGGGCGTGAGGCTGGAGGTGAGCACTCATGACATCTCAGTGTTCCAGGACGGCCAAAGGGTCAAGCTGCTGTGGTCTGATACAGCCTCTCTCAAAGGACCCAAGTGAGTGGCTGCACCATCACATTGTTATCTTCTTCAGTGAAAGAATATGAGTAATATGAAATGTAAAGTCCAGTTTAGACTGAATAATTATCATCTTTCTCCTCCTCCAGTGTGGATCTTCACGTGACCAAGGATCGCAGCCTAATGGTAGCTCTAAAGGATTCAGTCAAGTTTATGATCCTGCTACACAAAGTGTGGCAGAAGCATCCATACCACCGGGACTACTTGGGTTTCTACACCCTCGACAGCCACCTTCTCTCCCCTTCTGTTCACGGCCTGCTAGGTACCACATGACACACTTACCAGGAAGTAGTTAGCATGGTTTATAGCAGGTGAAGGAAAGTGATATGATTTTCTTTTCTTTTCTTTTCTTTTCTTCATAGCAGACAAAAAAAAAGATAATTATAATGATTTTACTTCAGTTGGCAAGGTGGAAAACTACACATGCAGACTGATTATGTTATAAAATAATATTTACTGTAAATGTCGGGTCATCCTCCAGGTCAGTTCTACCATGGGATTGAATATGAAGTGACAGACCTGCGCCCAGGAGAAGTCCCAGAGAAACCAGACGCCACCATGTTTGTGAAAGGACAGGAGCTCAATGTGACCAGGTATACTACATGCCTCAGATAAGCGTGTCCCATCTCAATGTGAAAGTATTTGCATTTAATGTTTGTTCCAAATGAATGAATGGCTCCCGCTTTGTGTGTGCTCTTAAAATTTTATTTGGTCTACATGACGTTTCTGTCTGGGCCCACAGAGGCTGGCAGAGAGACTTCAGGCGGGACGTGAAGAACGGAGAAAACGTTCCCTGCTGGTTCATTCACGGAAGCGGATCAGGCCTCATCGACGGAGATGAAAGGGATTACATCGTGTCAGGACTTTTTAAAACTGTTTGAAGACAGGTTATATATCAGTGTCCACCACAGAAAAATCACCACAATCACAGAAAAATATTAAAATCTGACTGCACTTACACCATGAATAATCTAACATCACATACCCAAAGGCAAACAGGCCTCTTCATGAGCGCATTTCCTGGAATCATAAGAATAACCCAATATAGTGAGAAGTCCTCGGAGACAGACTCAACTGTATTTTGTATTGGAATAAATGGACACAGATCTTAAAGATAGACTCAAGATAGATTTATTCATTTTATTTCAGTTTTTCATTGTTTCCAATGTTGTTTATTACGACAGAAAAGGCTGTTTAGTGTTAGTGTCACATCTTTACTTTGGTCATTCCTCTGTTTTCCCTAAACCCATGTTTGACTTTGAGAATTTTTATAACAATATTTTGTTAATGTCTGGAGCTGACAGGATGTACAATGGGATTTAAACTGTTTCCAAGCAGCTGCAACGCTGATGAACAGTTCATGTAAAGTCTACTGTAGGATTCCTAAACAACATGATACCTAATAAATTTTATCTTGGTGGTAACAAATTGGTGAAACATTTCTTCATGGTCAGATAGAAAGAAAAAGTCCTCTATGTACCAAATGATTAATGAATATTCTTTCACTACAGGAAATATCCATACTTAACAGTCTTTAATATTGGTTGAAAATCATGTGATTTCTAGAACCTTAAAAGCTGAACTCTTGCATGCAGTAAACAAGGAGTGTCCCTCCTCTTGCTGGACAGTGTGGGCGGAGTAGAACTTTTACAGGAAGATTTGATTCCCACATGCCTTGAATTCCTTCCACACTTGTTTTCAACCATGCCAGAGGAGAGGCCGCTTTGTTTCCCAAGCATGACAGCGGCGTGGAGAGTCCTGCTGCTGGGGGCTTGTGTCTGCATCTGGCTTCCAGCTCAGGCCCGAGGAGCTCTGGTCATTTCCAGGAGAGATGCTCTGACACAGGTATTTAACAGAAGCCATTTGTGTGCAGCAGATGCATGTACACAAATGCATTATTATATTCTATGTCAGCAGGTATGTCATTGGTGATGAGTTTAAACACTTTTTATGAAAGCCTGTATCTGCAGTTGTAAGAGCACATCTTTCCCATGAAGAATCCTCAGGCATGCAGGAAGTGATGTGCTTTTTAATGTTTTTTTTGTTTGTTTTCTAATAAAAGAATAAAAGAAGATCTGTTTAGAGGGCACAATTACCAAGACTATGCAGAAAAACAGAAGGGCATCACAGAAAATCAAATAAATAAGTTGCACAAGCCGTAGCGACTCATCTCAGGGAACACTAGAGCATTGACAGCTTACAGGAAAAATCCTTTAAAACTATTTTCCTTTAAAACAGCTAGATATCAGGAGTGTGGGTTGCTTTTGAAGCCAACATTGCTGTTTGCTGGTGTGACTTAACGTTTTACTAGTATTTACAATGGAGCTTCATAGAAAAAAAAACTCAGCAGACTGAAACATTAGATGTAGGTTAGGGTGCAAGCGGAACTTTTAAAAAAATTTTTTTTGATGTACAACCAAGTCAAGTCTCAAGTCTGTTAATGTATGCCCAAAGGTCAAGTGCAAGTCAAGATTCAAGTCTTTCAGCACGCTGACCATTCAAATGATGCAGAATCCTTTTCATTTTCCTCCCAAAGCTTGATTATAAGCAATTTAAACATATACAACCTTAATAGTTTAAGGTGCAAACTGTACAAGGTATGTTCTATTGCTGTCTTATTTACTTTTTGCCATTTTTTCAAGATTTTCCCAAGGTCACACCTTGAGACTTCTCAGTGGAAGTCTCCGCTGTTAACGGGTTAATGTCTAAAGAGTTCTCCATGTTTTTGTCATGATTGTTTGGTTGATTGGTTCGGGACAGGTGAAAAATTACACTGTACAGTAGTCCAAGTCTCATGTCTATAGCTCTGTTTGTCTCAAAATCAAATCAATAAGTCCAAACTTCTACTGAACACACTCATTTGCACAGTAACACATGAGGCAGAGACTGTTTTTCTATTGCCCTTAGGTTCAATCAACCAAGTTGGACATTTGCCATTATGATGACGGCTCTGTCCTCCTCTGTCCTCTTCTCTTGCTGTTTCCAACTCATCAATGCAATAGTTTGTTTAACTAACCATGTTCTATCATTTCAGCCATTTCATGCTTCACCTGTCCACAAGTTGTCCCCTTTGAGGTTTTCTGCACATCCCCACCCAACCACCTATGCACATACACTGTATCTGCTCCCTCCAGTTTGCTAGGTTGTGTAAGACGCCAACCTGTCAGCATGCTGCTGCTTGTCTAGTCTCGCCCGCCTGTTAATTATGTGACCTTTACATCCACAAATCTTTTCCCACACTTATTTTCAGTCCTTTATTGGATTCTGGGTCCACACCTTGCTTCACAGAAATGCTAATCCAAAACTGTCTCTCAGACACTTTGAGGAACACAGAGGAGGCACCTTTAGTACATGTGATGACGAGTATCTAAGCATGGATACTTCAAATAGAGATTACGTATAGTTTAGAAATCAGCATTTTCTGAGGCAGAATGTAACTGATGGAAAACATTCAGGAAAACTTCAAGCTTAGTGATGTCAAATAGTCATACATTTAGTGCACATCCCTTTCCACACCTGCTTTTCCTTTCTCCATAACCATGCAGTCATTTTATGTTCTGTTCCAGGAGACTGAAGAAGCTATGGGCACCAGGTCAATAAAGGTATCCAGCTTAAAATACTGCAAACTAAGAGAAGTTTAGACTACCATTTACTGAACTTTCTGTCTTCCCTGCTGCAAAACTGAAAAAAGACAGTGTTGATTGTGGAAATATTTTTTGTCTCTTTTTCTCCTGCAGAAAAGAAGCACAAACTCTGCAAATGTAAGGGACTATTTTTGGTATTGATATCAAAAAATCTATAAAACACAGGGATGTGACCTTTCCTAATAACAAAACATTTATATATGTTGATGTATCATTGACAAATGAACTCAAATCTGAATATGATAATTCAGTACACATGAGGCCGTGGTCAAGATAACTGGTAGTGTCTATCTCACAGTAGTGGTATTGTTACTGGTTGCGAAATGAAGTCCATATTTCCCATAAACCACATTACTTCCAGATGCCACTTCCCTCCGTGGTGTCCACTGGCATGCATATATTTTCTCTTTGCTTTACTGGAGACAATAAACACGCTGGAAGTGATTTGTCCATCTGGGTTTTATTCCCTTACGCATTTGCGAGTATGAGAAACTCTAAGTTTCATCTTACATTGTGTTTACAGAAAAGTGACTTGTCTCAGTTTTGTGACATGTCTCCTCACATCTGAGACAGACTCCAGTAGAGAGACTGCCAGTCGTCTTAGCCTCTGGTCTTGCTTGTTTGCAGTAATATGGCATGATCTTGTATAATTTGTGTGGTTATGATTTATTGACACTGAACCCCTACGGACAAACTTTTTACTCTATAAGCATCCTTTCAGATGGTGGAGGTGAACAGCGTCAGAGTCAGCTGCACGGTGACGTCTCGTTTCGCTCACACCGTCATGACCTCCAAGGCCCTGAACACAGCAAACTCCTCCCAGGAAATCTTCTTCGAAGTGGAGCTGCCCAAGACCGCCTTCATCACCAACTTCAGCATGTCAGTCAAAACTCAAGACGTTTGACAGTGAGCATATTCTATGTGTTTCTATACCTTTGACAAAAGTCCTTGTGCCTCACAGGGAAATCGAAGGTCAGGTGTATGCTGGGGAGGTGAAGGAGAAAGAAAAAGCTAAGAAACAATATGAGAAGGCTGTTTCCTCTGGACAGACGGCTGGACTGGTCAAGTGAGTCAGTCAAAATGAAAAATACATAAACCCACTATTGCAAACATGAAAATACACGTTCAAAGCAACATCTACAATTTTATGGACTTCTTGTAAAGATCCTAAATTGATCATTTTAGCATTAGAAGCTGTCAGTTATATCTGTGTTTTATTACAGGGCCTCTGGGAGGAAGATGGAGAAGTTTTCAGTGTCTGTCAACATTGCAGCCAAAAGTAACGTGACTTTCATTCTGACATACGAGGAGCTCCTTCAGAGGAAACTGGGCCAATATGAGATTTTAACCCGAGTTAAACCCAAACAACTGGTGCAGGAGTTTCAGGTTCTACTCACTCTCCTCTTTTATTTTTCTAAGCAATGACACGCAGTTCAAGAGACGCTTCCTCAGTGAGCGCAGAGTGTGACAAATTTGTGTCAACATTAAAGAGTGCACTGCCTCAGTGATTGTGATTGTGTGTGTGTGTGTGTGTGTGTGTGTGTGGAGACAGATTGTGGCAGACATCTATGAGCCTCAGGGCATTGACTGTGTTGATGCCACTGCAACTTTCCTCACGAATGATCTGCTCCCCCTGGTGGAGAAAACTGTCACAGACACAGAGGTAAAGGGTTACAAAGATTTCCATGCTTCTGTTTATAGACTTCTCAGTTTTTTGTCCAGTAATCTCAACCGAAATGAATCTCTCTGTCTCTCAGGCACACATCTCTTTCTCACCAACAGTGGAGCAGCAGAGGAAGTGTCCAGGATGTGAAGGCACCATAATTGATGGTGATTTCATCATCAAGTACGATGTGAAACGAGAAGAGGGCGCGGGGGAAGTTCAGGTCAGCTGCCAACAAAGTCTTTGCAGCAGCACATAAGAATCACACTTTAGTCTCAATCAAATTCTTTACATCCCTTCAGGTTGTGAATGGATACTTTGTGCACTTCTTCGCTCCCCCTGGCCTGCCCAGAGTCCCAAAGAATGTGGTGTTTGTGATTGACAGGAGCGGATCAATGAGTGGAAAAAAGATTGCACAGGTAAAAGACTTGTGTGGGTAAGCTCCTTACCGCATGCAATGATGTATGTACATCTTCATATGTTAAACTGTGAACCTTTGCAGACCCGGGACGCATTGGTTGCCATTCTGAAAGAACTCCATGAGGAGGACCACTTTGCTCTCATCCTGTTTGATTCCAGTATTGTCACCTGGAAGGACGTTCTCTCCAAAGCAACTCAGGAAAATGTGGCCAAAGCCATTGCCTACGTCAGGAAAATAAAAGACAACGGAGGTGCAACTTTAGTTCTAAATGTTTTGTTCACTTCCTTATTCAGATGACCAGAAATAGAGTTCAAATGTATACATTTATTTATAGTGGTGAAGAGAGATGTCAACAGAGTAGATTATAGAAGAATAGAGAGTAAATCACAAAGGTTCAGGGCCTAAGAGACACAGATGAGAAGAATTAACCACTCTTTAATCTGTCTGTTCAAAGTGAAGCTTCGGAGACTTCATTAAGTTAGCGCTGGTCAGCACTGATCAACAAGTGACCCACGCTCATAACCCCACATAAAATTGCAAATTCTTATTTTTACACTTAGGTTTTTGTACAGATCAAACAAATGAGGTATGTGTTAGAGCTACATGGTGGATTTTTCAACACTTGGACAGTCTAGCTGATTTCCTCTGCTTCCAGTCTTTATGTCAAGCTACGCTAAACTAAGCTAAGCTAACTGCCTGCTAGCTGTAGATTCATACTTTGTGGACAAGAATGAGAGGGGTGTATTTTTCAAAATGTTGATCTATTACTTTAAAGAACATGGGCTACTGAGAAATTGCAACTTAATTTTCTCTATAAAAAATGTTATCTTAGGATATTTTTGTGTTAATCTGCTCATTGTGTCGTTGCCTTTCAGGCACAGATATCAATAGCGCTGTGCTGAGGGCAGTGAGCATGCTGGGGAGAGAAAGAGGAGATAAGAGGCTCCCAGAGAGGAGTGTGGATATGATTATTTTACTGACTGATGGGATGCCAAACCACGGTGAGATGTCTTCATTTGGAGGATGATAATATTTTATTCTGGATGGTCAGAGGTCATTGAAAGTTTTAAAAGGTTGACAAGTACTTCACAAATCTTATAAGTATGTTAAGTCTCTTATAAGAACAACAAGGCTTTCATTGCATGCTCATACATAATGTGTACATTAATATACATGTGTGCGTGCATGTATGCGTACAGGGGTGTCAAACCTCCCAACAATCCAGGAGAATGTGCGTTCTGCTATTGGAGGAAACATGTCTCTGTTCTGTCTCGGCTTTGGAAATGATGTGGATTACTCCTTCCTGGATGTGATGTGCAGACAAAACAAGGGGCTGGCCCGCAGAATATATGAAGCTTCAGATGCAGCTGTTCAACTCAAGGTGAGGCAAAACAAGAAAACACTGATTTACAACAAAGGGAAAGTCCATTCAAGTTTGGCAGTGTTTATTGTATTTATAGTGTGTTTTGCACCTCCAGGGGATTTTGGTAAACAGATGATGCATGATTTGGAGTGTGTGTCTCTCCTCCAGGGTTTCTATAATGAAGTGTCCAGCCCTCTGCTCTCGGAGGTGGATCTGCGTTATCCTGACAATGCAGTGAACTTTGTGACCAAAAAACACTTCAGCCAGTTGTTTAATGGCTCAGAGATCGTGGTGGCTGGACGGCTGAGAGACAGTGATCTGGACAGCTTCTTGGTGGAAGTGTTTGCCCAGGGGGTGAGAAATGGACAACAGAATATGAATTATGCTATGAATAGACCTTATATCTTGTCATGGTGGTGAACAGACAATATGTGTGCTTTTTCTCACATGTGGCTGAATATTGAATGCAAAGAGTGATACTGTGAATGAAACAAACTTAGGTGGATTGTTTTAGTCTTTAGAGATACTTCTTCCAGACATTCTCAGGGCTTCAGTAAGGGTCAAGTCATCATGCCTTGATGTTCCTATTTTTATTTTTTATAACGATGGTCAGTTGGACACTTTGGTCCAGACTCCAGACTAAAAAATCTCAACAACTATGAGGTGGATTGTACAGAATCACGGTCTCCTCAGGATAGATCCTACTGATGATACCTTAACTTTTCATCAAGCTTCATACATTTAATTTTCCATTTGGTTTACTTATGACATTCCTATCAACCTGCAGCCTTACAGAGCTGCTAGTGTGGCTGTCGACTCTGTCTTTATTATACTGTTAATATCCTCTCCTGCCATCGCTCATTGAATCTCTCCTATTTCTGTAGTCGGACAATGACTTCCAAGTGCACAGAAGGGCCAGCGTGGTAAACTGGGGGGTGATCTACCCAGAACTGGAGTACATCTTTGGGAATTTCACTGAGCGTTTGTGGGCCTACCTCACCATCCAGCAGCTACTGGAGGATAGGTTTGTTCATCAAAGATTTGAGAAAGTTTCTCTGTGAACTGTGATGGATTACTCAAAGAAACTGCTCTGATCAGAGTTGTTATTGCTCGTCATGTGCATCATATATCACTATTAAACAACCAGCTAATCTCCTCTTTCTTTTTTATCTCACAGTGACATTGGTACTCAGCAAGACAAAGACATTATGACAGTCAAGGCATTGGACATGTCTCTACGGTACAGCTTCGTCACCCCTCTCACCTCCATGGTGGTTACCAAGCCTGAAACTGAGGACGGACCAGACAGCCCTCTCATTGCTGACAAGCTGACTGAGGGTAAAGGATATGTGGCCAGTGTTTGATTTTAATTTTGTTTAATTTGTTGTCAGCAGATTTTTTATTTTTATTTGTACGAACGGAAAAAAAACGATTTAGTACAGGCTATCTGATAAACTGACAAGTGAATCAGCATATTCTTTCTTTGCAAATTACATTACATTCTTTGATTATTAGAAATCTGTTGAATCAGTATGTGTGAGTAGGACTTCCTGAAGGCATCCAACTTTGAGTTTTATGTTTTCTAACTGTTGCCCTGTTTTACAGACCAGCGACAGAAAGCAGAGAGACACCGTGGTACGACAATCTCTTTTAACTTCATTATATGACAAACTTTACCAACCTTATTCTGGCTGAACAACTTTGGCGATGTATGATTTTATTATTTTTGATAACAGGCCCTGCAGCCGATGCTCGAGGTTCCCATGGCCTATCAGATGGTAAGCTTCTCATACAGCAGTAGTTTCACTATCACATAATTTTTATCATGTCTATGCTGTCATTATTGCTGCCAATTTTACTTATATCTTCTATTAAAAGCTTTTATTATCAAACACAGACATGATTCACCACATATGTATCAATAATTTAATACTGAAGAAATCAGTTCCAGCTCTTCACTGCTGCACTATAGGATGCAACTGTTAGCTGTTATAGCTTTCTGCCTGACATTATACTTTGATGATGCTTTTGCAGTGGACGGAGATCCTCATTTCATGATAGAGCTGCCAGACAGAGATGACGCTCTGTGCTTCAACATCAACAACAAACCAGGAACCATTTTCACTCTGGTCAGAGACCCAGGATCAGGTCAGCCCTGAGTCTTGATCACTCAATTGTTCTCAAAGGAAGCAAAAGGCATGATAAAACAAATCTTTCATCATTTTCAGGCTTTGTGGTGAATGGCCAAATTATTGGCAAGAAGAAAGTTGTTGCTGATGGTAACGTCAACACCTACTTTGGACGTTTTGGTATCAGCCACAAGAAGCTGGGAGTGAGGCTGGAGGTGAGCACTCAGGACATCTCAGTCCTCCACAATGGCAGACAGGTCAAGCTGCTGTGGTCTGATACAGCCTCTATCAAAGAAACCAAGTGAGTAATCCTGCTTTGCAAATATTATCTTGAGTTACTTGACAGCAACATGTTTTAAACTGAAATGATAAAATAATGCAAACATTTATGTTGTCATTATGTCAGGTAAAAGTGCTTTTAAAAGTCAATGTAAAGACATTTCTCACAATGATTTTTAATTTTTGTTTATCACACAGTAAATACCTGAAGTTCAATTGTCATACCTTAAAGATACCATTCCTACAATCTATACCACAATTAATCAAAATATGAGTGTCATCTAAATGAAAATTAAACAATAAATTGGATCAGTAAAAACTACAAAACCAAGTGTAAACTATGACATCCTCACTGAAAATTGACTTAAGCTATACTTGACACTGACAAATAAAGAAGCTCCACGTGGCTCCTGTGAGTCACAAAGAAACAACTTTGCTATCTTACTGTCAGCCAGTTGGTCAAATGAAATTGTTGTTCTCTCTCCTCCAGTATGGACCTCAAGTTAACAAAGAACTGCAGCTTAACAGTGACACTGAGACACTCCATTAAATTTATGGTCATCAAACACACAAAGGTGTGGAAGAGACGCCACGATCAGCAAGACTACCTAGGTTTCTACACCCTGGACAGCCACCACCTGTCTGCTTCAGCTCATGGCCTGCTAGGTGGGAACAGAAGAGGCTGAGAGGAAATTTCCCATATTATGATGCACTGTTTTTTTTACAGCTATTTTCTTATTCCTAACTTTAAATAAAGCAATAGATATTAAGTAAGCTTTTTTTGCTCCAGGTCAGTTCTACCATGGGGTTGAGTTTGAGGTGACAGACCCACGTCCAGGTGAAGTTCAGGAGAAGTTAGATGCCACCATGTATGTGAAGGGACAAAAAATCAACGTGACCAGGTGCACACACACACACACACACACACAGAATGCATGTGAGGGTAAAGTGTGTGCTCATATACACATCTCATCATCAGTTTTCTCTCCCTCACAGACACTGGCAGAAGGACTTCAGCAGGAACGTGAAGAATGGAGAGAATATTCCCTGCTGGTTTGTCAACAATGATGGAACAGGCCTCATTGATGGAAGAGCCTCAGACTACATTGTGTCAGGGCTTTTTAAGACAACTTGAATCCTGAAAACTAACTTTAAAAAAATAAAAATAACTGTTTTGACATGGGTTCTTTGTGTGCCTTAAATAAATAAATAAATAAATGAATAAATAATTAAAGGGTGTGTTTGTGAAGAGATTCATCAAGCAGGGTGTGGAATAGGTAACTTGTCTGAGGCCTACTTGCTGGTAATTCAGACATTCAGGGCAAGAGGCATGAAGCCTGAACACACAGTCCCGCCTCTCTTTCTGGATACCAGTAACCTACATCTCTCTTTCTCAGACATTATGGTAGTTGCCAGATGTCTTTTCTCGGAGCTGTGGAGCAGCAGAGGGACTGAGCACTGGGACTGAGGTTGAGTTTGGAGATGGTCCATTGTGAAAACATCCAGTCGGTGAGCCTGTTGTCACTGCTGGGATGTTGGACAGGCCCAAACACAGCTATCACTTAATTTCCTCAACATCATTATCACTGTTCATTAGAACATAATAAGGATGGAGCGTGTGTTTGTCAGATAACACTGATGTATGTTAGCATGTTTTAAATGTAGTAATTTTACTGTAATTGAATATGTTTACATTGCTTCAGCTGTACATGCTTAGAGTTAATTAACTTTTCCATGTGGTTAATGTAATGACAGCAGGTGTAAAGAGGAACATGTTCGGTTTTTTGACCACAGGGGGCAGCAGTGAGTTCACTGCGGTTTGTTGCGCTGACAACCCGAGGTAAAGACGCTTTCGTCGAAAAATAATTTCACATGCCAAACAAATCTAAGATTTATGCTTTATTGTTATTATTTTTCAAATCGTATGTTTCACCTTTACAAGTGAGATCACTATCAGGAGGGAGACACAAGCAAACGTCCTCACCTCCAAGAAAGAGCAGCGTGAAGCAAAACTAACCCGAACCAGCGTTAGCTAACTTAACGTCAATCCCGCACAAGCTAGCAAGCTACACAAACGAACTTATGTTGAAGTTTGACCACAAAAAAACAGGGCCGAATTATTAAAAAAGTTAGAGTTAGCTTGACACATTATGATTGTATTATTATATTGTTTATCTGTATGCCATCACTGCTGTACGGGTAGCCCAATGTAGGCGTCCTCATGGGTCAGTAAACTGTTTGTTTACAGGATACCGCCCACTGAACCAGAGCCACCCGGTCCTCACCTGAGGGAGGAGGACCAGAAGCAGGTGAAACGGAGCCAATGCAGTTTTAAAGTCAGTCGAATAAACGCGTGGACGGAGGTATGTCTATTTTTCCCAAGTGCTGACGCTGTGATTACCATAAACTCAGGAGCATAAATATACAGTACAGCATATATACAGTACAGTAGTAGTACAGGACTGCAGCATCATTTGCAGCAAGTTTAATAATTTTTCGTGCCCTTGTCAATGAAGATGGAAAAATCATTATTGAGAGATTATCCAAAATTAAGTCATGTATCCAACTAATTACCCATCAGTCATAAAGATACCAGTTACTTGTTCTCTTTCAATAAATGCCATCTGGGTGCTGTGCCTCAAAAAAAATTTCTCAAATGAGGTTAGGATAGAAAGAAAGCAACAAACTGTACTTATGGTCTTTTTATTCTCAGCAGTAAGTCTGCTGATGTGTTTTAATATAAAGCCTTTATTAAAAACCTGAACACCCATGGCACACCCTCACAGGTGATTTCACTTGACTGGCCGATTATATGTCCTCCCTGGACTCTGTTGGCTCTGTTGGCCTTCACAGACATTTTTCACAGCAGGCATTTCAAATTGTCATAGTAAGAAATTCACCTGTGATACTAATAACATTGATGATGGCTCTGTCCTATTCAAGTATCCCAGTAAATCATGACAGTAAGCCAGCATGAACTATACCAAGACACTGAAACTGAAGCAGCTAAATGGACTTAAGCCATTGTTCATTTTTGTATTTATTTACACCTGAGTTTTCTCTACTGTGACATGCCAAAATGTCTTCAGTGAAAAAATGCATATTGATACTTCCCCACTCTTCTCATTTGCTTTGTTTGACCTGGATGGTGAAAGAAATGCACCTTTATCATTCTTTCATTAGTATAAAGAGCATGGTGTCATAATATAATTCACTTCATAGCTCCATGAAACTTCAAGCTGAGCCGAGGTCTAATTAGCCAGACACTTAATAAAATTAAAGATCAGCTAATATTCAACACATACACATTTATAAATTATAGGCTCATCAGACCATAATAATAAAAGTGTAAAAAAAAAATGACAATAACATATAATCACTACAAAAGATCAACACATGGGTTGACCTTTTTATTGTTGGATTGCTACCTTTTTTCTTAATTCCTTTCATGGCATAATGCAGTTGTTAAATTCACAGAAGGATGCCCAATTAAGTATGTAATTGCCAGATATGGCATTTGGAGTCTCTTTTTTGTTTTTATTTCACTCTTTCTGTTGAAGTTTATCGATGCATTTTGTGGTGTTTGCTTTTCCTCTTGTTTTCTATTGTGCAAAGCTTCATTGTTAAGTAGAAGAGCACAAGTCAAAGTTTAAACCCTAGACATAACCTGCCTTTGTAAAATTTGGAGCTCTACCTTTTGAGCTGTAAGAACGTTGAGTCCGTGGTATAGTCACTATGAATGTGGTCAGTGACTGGTATGATATGTTCTTCATATTATTAACAGACAATAGAACACATAGTTTCATTTTCTCTGCCCTCATTTGAATGTGTGTTTATGTATGCATGGGTGGTTATGTGTTGTATTTGCCCATATGCAGTGAACCTAAAATGTATGGTGTGTGTGTGTGAGAACTCCTTGTACTGTAACAACTCACCAGCTCTTATTACACAGCTTTGGCATGTGTACTAATAGATCCAGGGCAAGAGTGTTGACCCCAGTCATGTCGGAAGTTCAGGAGTTGAGAGGGATTTTCTTAAGGGGATCTTTGCAGAAGTGTGTGTCTGTCTCTTTGTATGTGTGTGTATGGTGTGTTTGTGTAAGCTTTGATGATTAACACCAGATGTGCGCGGCTCAGGGTGTCGGCAGCAGCTTGAGAGGGCCCCACTGTACTCCATTCGGCCCTGCTTGTAGAAAATGCTCAAGCGACTTCTTCACACATGGCTGAGAGTAATATCTCTGCTGTTCATTCCCCAGAGCCCCACAAGGTTTGAAACATCAGGTCAGTCTAAGCCAAAGGAAGTTTAATAAGGAGTTTGTGCAGCTAGAGCAGGGACTTAATGTAGGTCTCCTTCTTCTCCACCAGAGGGCGGGAGAGAGCTGTAAAACATCTGCAAGTGCTCAGGTCCCACAGTCAGGATTGACTACTGTAGGTTAATAGATTTTTTCCGAGGATCTTTTCAATTTTTCCAGTTCATATAAAGCACAGAAACATTGTATTTTTGTCCTGTATTACACTGTTGAAATTAAATTTTAAAGGGAAATATTTTACCTAAAAAGTTCCACATAGAAAATACTGCAATATTTTGAGGAAGTGACTGAATTAAAGTTGTGACTAGTGCTGGACCTAAGTAGTAATTTCATTATTGTTTATTGATATTCTTTTATTTGAATATGCTGTGATTAATGTATTTGTGTTTTATTTACATAATGTCAGAAATAGTGAGAAACACCCAAGTTTCAAGAGCCTAAAGTGACACTGTGAACTCATTACTCATCACAGAGAACAAATCCGTCTAAACTCAGTCCAACCCAGTCAGTGATTCAATTTGCAATAATGCAAAAGAGAAAGGAGCAGCAAATAATCATATTTGAGAAGCTAGAATCTTTTCTTTATGTGCAACTTAAACAATTATTCATTCATGAAAAATGGTAACGATTAATTTACCATAGGTCAACTAATCAATTGATTGTTTCTGCTCTAGTTATGATTCTTGCAATAGATTAGATGAAAGTAAAATTAGCTGTAAATTCTTCTGAGAAAGGCTGTTTATGGCCAATTACGTTTTTCTGATTATACAATATTTTGACAGTTTTTCATCAAAGCAAATCTCAAAATTAATGTTGCATTTTGAAACAGCCGGGCACGATGATTCTCTCCTGCTCAGATTCCTGCTCTCAGTCAGCTGTGCAGTGAGACTTGTGTTTGAACTCTCAAGTTTGTCAAAAGTTATAATTTCATTTCACTCCTTCCATTACAGCCCCACTTTATTTGAACCCTTTCCTCTGTCCTCACCTCCCAGGTCTCCCCCCTCCCCCGCCCGTCTCTCTACCTTTTGTCCCTGTGTGAATATTTCACATTGCTGTTGCCGCTGGTGCGTGATGCGGGGGACTGAGCGCTCATTGTGTGTACGCAGTGTGGGTGCTGCGGTATGTGGCTGCTCGGCGTGTGGTGTGTCGTGACAGGCGTGTGGCCGCTGACGCCAGCCGGCCGCCTGCCTGTCTGTCTTTCTGTCTGTTCAGTTACACCTGACCAACGCTGACATCGCCATGCCCACACACTCAAACATACACACACACACATATAAATATGCACACACACACAGACAAGTATAGACTGCACCACTAAACATGGTACCCAATGTCAAATTAAGGGTCACCAACTCCCTGCCACTGTGGTCTCCCCACTCGTCCCCTCACTGCAGTAGGTTGGCATGAGGCTCTCGTGTTACCTTTGATGTTCTGCTTACTTGCTGTGAATTCATGAGTGTTACTGAATTTAAGTAATCTGACTGAAAAAATGCAACCTGCATAAATTTTTAATTACCGCTGTTGCACATGTTCCATATTCATAATAATATTAAGGCACATTTATGCCATGGCTTATCCAGCACATGCACTCATATTTTCTGTCGAATTTATACCAAGTGTGTCTAACTCTATGGCAACAGACACATTGTTGTGGCATTTACTTTATATTAAAAGTGCATTATTGAATTTTGTGGTTTTGAAGTGTAGGTCTGTTCTGAAATGCAGTGGGAGGCTATGAGATATTGCGGCGCACCGTGGTGTAATCCTTGGTATTTAGTGTGTTCTCTCAGGCTGCTGAGGTGAAAAGTTGAACCTGGTGTTGACCTTCTCTTGAGAGTGGGCTTAGCTCTAAAGTCAGGCACAGGCCAA